AAATCACTAGAGACTTTTTTTCCTTTTCTTTCTTTTTTTAGAATTTTGCTTAGGATTACATAAACACATTCTGAAATACAAATAATTTATGGACCTTGTTCCACACTAACAAAAATCAATGTTCTAAGAAATACATATTTCTCTAAAATTCTTTAAAGATTATAATAATATGCTTTAATGGCTTGCATGTGTGTCAGGTACTGTTTTAATTAAAATGGTGTGAAGCAGGTGCCAGTACTATTTTACATCTCAGTTCCTTTGGTGCCAGGGTGATTTGTGGTATTGGGTCTTACAGTAGGAAGCTTCAGGCTCATTGAAACATCCTTTAGTATTGAGTGTTTCTGGACTGTGACAGTTGTCACAGTACTGTGAAGCCATTCATCACAACACCTCTACTGGCCATGAATGAATATATATATATATCTTGTGAAACACTTTGGTTACACCTGTTCAGCTATAAACATCTTGATTACCCCCAAAATAGGGCCTTCATGTCAGATTTGTTGTGTGAAGGGAAGAACTTGTATAGTGGTATGTGATTAATCTTGGCTGTATAGATGTGAGCAAGATAAGTAATTTCTAACTGAGAGAAACTGCTTTATTCAGCTGCCTGAAAATTCCTTCATACTTGATGGAAACCTGCTTGGCTGCCTTATGCATCCACAGGAATGCTACAGTATGTGTTCAGCAGTTTTGTGGGAAGCGTCTCCAAATGATGACTGAAAACTGTAGGATGCATATTTGAAGTGAGAATGAAAATACTTGACATAAAAAAGCTTTACCATTTTTGATCAAAGCAACTTTAAAGGTAATATGACCAGGGTGTCTAATTAAGTGATTTCTCAAGAGTTTGGTATCCACTTATATAACTTAAAACCTTAATGTTTAGGGTTACAAACTTTGGGAAATCTATAATAGTTTTACTAATATATAACTGAAAGCCCTGATTTGTGTTTTGGAGAAGAGCCTTTCTTAGCTTGATGATGCAAAAATTATGCTGGCAATGTTTTCCAAACTGCCATTCTTTTCTGGTAGTAACGTGGATTTCTTGCTTTAATGCCATACAGTAGCTGTATTTTTCGTACTATGTGAGTTGTTTATTTTCCTAGGTGATCTGCAACTGCTAGGAAGCAGTGAGAATATTCAGTCAGATCTACCATTAGCCTGAAAATATTTAGGATAGTTTACATCATATTACCTTTGAATGCAAAACTGAATTATTGTGTGAATGTCAACTTCAGAGTACTCTGAATCACATTTTTGGATTTTTCACTGTATGAGTAGATATCTATGGCTATAAGAATTGATTCTGTGTGCACTTCTGTATTTGTGCATTCTCCTTGGCTAGAGAAAGATAAACATAAAAATGTGGTATTGGTCCAATTTGTAGATTTTTCTCTGGCATGTCAGTCTTCTCTGAGAATGTGAAGAGGAATGTTGTCTGTCATTATATTCAGTTTCTAAAATGGGATGTCATGCAGTGTTTGAAATCAAGAAATTGATGCTCTAGTTAATATAAAGTCAATGTCTTGTTTCTCACCTTTGTTACACCCAGTACAAAGAGTTGAGCATCTTAGTTCATAAGGGAGTTTTAACATTCTAATTAGTTATTGGCATATTAATGGATCAGCTAGGATAAATAAGATAGTACTGTTGCATTTTACTCATTTCAATCAATAAATATCTGCTCCTAAATCTATTTTCTGATACCTCTCGCCAGCAGTAAAAAATTGCAACTGGGGCTTTTGCATGTGAAAAATCTTTTAATCTTTTCAAATAACCTTTTTTTCCTCACTTGTGTATGTGGTATGATGGAATATATAATCTTCATCTTCAGTATTTTGAAATATACTGTGGTGGTCCAGTGTCAGGAAAACTGCAAGAGATAAGGATTCTGACAGAATGTTTTAAATCATAACCTATAATTTTCCTTTAAGTTTGATTAGTCACATATAAGTCACTGTAGTGTCACTTCAAGGATACTCAGTTGGTGCTTACCCCTGTGAGATATAATCTTTACATGATTTGGAATTTGGACACTGTAAATAAATTGTTTTATCATGGCTACACAAAAGTAATATCCCTTATTTTGCAGACAATATCCTGAGCTTGTTTTTGATTTTGAGCAGTTTTAAACATCTGAAATATATCTGATCTTTTAATAACTTTAGCTTATAGTTCCTTATTGGATTGCAAGGTTCATATTTAGCTAGAAATAAAAAGGGAGTATGTTGATGAATATCTTTTTTTCTGCATCTCATTTCTCTTGTTGTCTTTTTCCATGTATTATTCATCTTTTGAGAAGAGCCATCAATGCCTAAAGGTGCCTTTTTCAATAATGCTATTTCTTCTAGTAAATTTATAAATTGATGTTTTCTGTGCCCCATGAGAATAGTGATGTATGGCTTTGAAAAATCCCCAAGTACCCTGTGGTTACATTAGGCCTTGAAAAAGATGGTAGCAGGATTGTTGTAGCAACCCATGCCACCATGCGTCTTCTTTTATGAACAATTTTAATTGGAAAAACTCAGAGGCTGTTCATAGGATGGATGAAAGGAGCTTCCACTAGGACCAGTGACCATCTTTACTCTGTTACAGACACAATGCATTCTGTCTTAACTTTATTGCAACATTATTTTCTGGCACATGACATAAAGCATAAAACATATATTTAAGTTTGCACAAGAACTTAAATATGGGAAGTATTGTACATATGATAAAATAAATCAACAGAGCTTTTCAGATCAAGTAAGCAAAGTTATTCTGTCAGGGAAAATGAAGTGCCAGAGGAATGATATAATATATATATGACTTTTTTTATAGCTGTTTAATATATTGCTTTAATTTTATTTTTTTTTTTTTTACTTTAGCTTTGGAGAAAATGTGCCATTATTTTACATGGAATACTAAATGGAATCATCAGTTGAAATACAGAAGTTGATTTTTGAATATATGTTAATAAAGGATGGCTCTGTACAGGTGTATATTTTGTCAGTTAACACAACTTGAACACCTGCATACCCTTCCAGGAACAGAGTTTTGTGGGAAGCGTCCTGTGGGACATCCGATTTAGGCTGGGATAGAATAAAGTAAATGGATTCTAGATAACCCTAATTTGAGATGCAGAGCTTTCAAATCTAGAGACTGTTAGCAGAAATCAGTTCAACTTGTTTTGCATTTGTAGAAGATGTTTGAAAGGAACCTTGTAATAGCAACCTTTTCACTTTGAACATTTGTGTCTGTACAGTAGAATCTTAATTACTACATTAGAATGAAAATAGAGCAAAGTAAAGTATAATAAGTGAGGGGTTTTGGTCAGATGGGACATGGGGATGAATTTTTCATTTCCCACCATTTTATCATAAGACTTATTCCTTGCTCCTAAATTTTTTTAAAGCTTTTATTACAATACTAATTTTTATCAACTTACATATAATACTGGAATATGCCCAAAGAAAACTTACAGGGTAGCTGCTTTTCAACCCAAAATTCTTGTACTAATATTGATGGCAGTGCATTTGGCTACAGTAGTTTATGTGGCTGTTGGATCACTGGACTGAAAAAGCATACCACACAATAATTCAGAAAAACATAGATGCATCAAAACAAAGTGAAGAAACAGTGATTTTACTAATTTTAAGAAAGGATTTGGAAAAAGTGGCATAGAAGCTAAGCAGAAAGAATAACAAGTCAACCTCTCAGCTTGTGAAAGAATTAACTAAGATTTTTTACCTAGTGTCTACATCTCATAAAGGACTGGTGCTTGGAAATAAGTCTCAGTCTACATGCAATCAGAAATTAATAATAAGCTATGAAAAAAGAGGGTTGGGGTGCTCACAGGAAGATTTCTTAACAGGAGAAGGAGAAAAGATCAGAGACACAAAGGAGAGATGAGAGATTAATGTCAATATAATATTTTCTGTAGTTAATATTTTAAATCATTGAAGCTTTTCTTTTTGACTGTGTACGTATCAGTAAAGTTTATTTCTTAAGGAAGCAAACACAGGTACTTTCAGTTACCTGTTCTGTACTAGGATGCTGAGGGAATTGACAGTCAGAATTTACTCCTCTGATGTTGTCAAGGCAGTTTCATAATCTCATAACCCTCCTAATTGCTAGCACACTGGAGCATATCTGAATTCAAAGTCAGTCTCTGGCTTAGATAAAACAATGCTCTTCTTATGCAAAACTCATGAGTGAACTTTTGATAGTTGAAATAGCCATAAGCCTGCAGCATGTTTTTTTGTTTTTCCTGCTCTTTATGAGGTTATAACTTTAAGGTCCCAGAATTCTAAATATGTTACAATTTATCAAAAACATGATTTTAATCATAAAACTATGTAAATTAAGTGAAAGGGAAAAGCAACTTATGACATAAGCCACAGAATTCCAACAAAATTAATTTCTAATGTGAAATGTTACGTATGTGCATATGTGTGCCAATGTCTATAATTGTCACACATGACAATACAAGATACTAGGATTTTATCTTGTGAAGACTGTAAGGAACGTTTCTAATATTTTGTCACAGTGAATTATTTTCTGTAGCAAAATTGTTCCATTTTAGTGAGAGGAGGTAATTATTGTCAGTCAAAATAGTCTGCACTATTCTACAGTAGCTTTTCATGTATAATTGCATTGCTTTGACAGTCAGTTTTACTTAATTTTTAGACAGTCTCTTTGGTATTTTTCATTCAATTCTAAAAATACACCAGAAGATTTATTTCAGTATAGAAAAGTTTATCTGTGAATCTTAAAGCTCTTTTCCCCCAAGTCAAACTGTCATTCTGTGTTCTTGAGGCTGTTCTTTAGTCACCTCAACAGCCCATGCTTGGAAACAATCATATCACTGACACATTTCATCTATTATTTAATCAGCTAAAAAGAGGTGTAGTGAAATCTGTAAAATAAAAAACCTGATGACTGTTTTATACAGTACTTTTTCCATCAGGCCATGAGACAGGAAGTTGAATTTATAAGTTCCATTTTTCATTTTGCAGAGCTATTAGAGAAGACACACAGAAGAGAGGAAGAAATGGGAGCTCTCCAGGTATATTTTCTGCTCAATTAACTAGCTACATATTTTGTTAAATTTCTTAAAACTACCATACTGTATTACAGCATTATGATTTTCTGAACTGCCTTATAGCTTAAATTCAGATTTAGAAATATATGCAGACAAATGCAGACCCAAGTGCTAGTAATACTCACTGCTGGGTTTTTTCACTGGTTGGGTTAGGTTCTCTGAACTGTGTTACTTTCTTTTGTAAAACTGAATAAAACTGAAAGTAAAGTATTCCAAGTAAGTATTTAAATCCTCTGAAGCACTAAATGTTCATAGTCATCTTTCTGAGGAAGAATGGATCGGTCAGAATTTCCTAGGACCTGATACGATATTATAAATCATTATCATATATCATCTAGCAGTAAAGTTGTTTGTGCTAAGCACTTTAAATTAGTACTTAAATGTCAGATTTACCCTAAGCTTTGGAATAGTATTTAGGCATTGCAGTCAAAGAAAACATATTCCTTTCAATTTGAAATGGCTAAGAAGGCAAAAACAGGCTGGAATGTCTGAATTGGGAGGCTAAGAGGGAGGCTAATGTGCGTATTCTTCAGAATACAGAAAGAGAAAAAGAAATTTTTAACAACAAATTGCTACAAATGATGAATATATGAATATAAAAAAAGTTTACATGCAATATGAAGAGTATCAATGAGTCAGCATTCTGTAAGTGTACTGAAAGCAGGGCATTTGTGAGGGAATTGATGAAGATAAAGCTCATAAGGAAAATGACATTTTGTATTGACCTGAGTTTTGACTCAGGATTTTGAAGATAAATCTTCTCATATAATAAATAGAAGGCATTTTGAAGGCTAGAGGTATCAAAGAAGTTAGTGTACAAACAGTTTGATCCAGTAATAGGAGACAAGTTGCAAGACCCAGAAGTTGCACAACACACCAATCCAGCTGTTTCCTGCTCAGACAAAAATCTTGGCCTGGCTTTCTGGCAGCTGAAGTTCAACAGGGCTGAGAGCTTGTCTGCGTAAGCAGTTTACACAGGTGCATATCTAGTTACATCAATGTAAAAAGATCTCCTTTCATGTGAAGCAATTCTGCATCTGCTTTCATGTGAAGCTTCATGGTTGACAAATTGTTCTAATGATATTACTTCTGATTGAATGAGGAGTAATTTTAGACTGCAGGAAGTTGCATCATAGTAGTGTCTTGCATGGCTGTATGTGCCTGCCTGTCTGTCATGTTCCCCATTAAATTGCAGTATTCCTTTCTCTAGCTGGCACTTCTGGTTAAGTGTGTGAATTGTAGTGCTCTGACTGCTGTTCTTTTATATTCAAATGATTGATAGCAGTTTTTTCTCCCTTCAGATAGATAGTCAAGTAGTGTATAAATTATCCATGGTAAATTTCCGAATACATTAGACGCTAGTCCAGAAAATTATCTGCTGAGATTGTAAGCGTTTATTATATTTTTAGAATTTGGCAACTGTATCATGCACTTTATTTACTGCATGAGTCATTTTGAACACTCTTTATTCTATCATTGGAACCATCCTCACTCACTCTAAGACCTTTTTTGCAAAGTAGTCCTCTTTAAATAAAAAAAAGTATTTGAATTGCTCTTCATTATCACCAGAAATTTATGAGCTCTGTAAATACCATCTTTTTTATGGTAATAGGTATGTGCTTTGTTGCAGAATCTTTAAATAAATATCAGTATTTGCCACTGCAATTTTGTGGAAGAACAAACATCTCAGAATAAAAGTTTCTGAGTTTTCAGTATAATTGTTCTGATGTATGGAAATAATCTGTATCTCAGGCCTGCTTTTAAGGAAGAATAAAGACTTTAGCAGGTGATACACTACCTTGCCTGAGAAAAAATGGAGTAAATTTGAATAAAGTAAAATTTCCTATAATGTCTTAATGGTCATGTATTCTAAATCTGGATTCACCTAATCACTTAAATATTTGTTTTGTCAAATTACTTAAAATATCATACCTAGTCAGGATATAGTACCAGAGTACACTATCTTGATTTTACTAACTTCATATTTTTCTTAAGAATACTTCACAAAGGGAAAAGAACATTGAAATATATACAGTAAATTAACTAATTCTGGGTTCTCTGTGTTTTGTGCTGGATTAAAACTGACACAGGTTTGTTTTATTTGTTTGACTAATGTCATCCTGTTATTAATAAAACATTATTCAGAGCTATTTCTGGATGAAAGAGTAATGATATAGAATTTACTTTTTAGTTTTCTAAGGAAATGCGTAAAAGATCCTGATGACAATGAATTCCAAATCATGCTAGATTTACAATCAAAGATGATCAAAAAAAGAAATCATTCTTTGGGATATGTAAGAGTAAAATCAGCAATATTGAAAACCTAGTTCACTAATTGAAAAAATATATTGCTGAGTATTTTTTGTCAAATCCTTTCTCACCTTATTTCTGGATGGTTTCTTATTTTTGGGGCTAGATTCTAAGTGGGATAGTATGATAAAAATCCAGTGAAGTACAAAAGTTCCTACTCAATGAGTTTTTTACAGAAAACTGTATGTATGAGACCACCAAAACCCCAAAATAATCCTAACCATAATTCTTTGACTTACACTGTGTTTATATTCTTCACTTTCTAATGGCATCTTGTATTTTGCTTTTAGGAACGTATTATGGCCTTAGAAATGGTAAGTTTCTTAAATTAATTTCCAAACCAATCCCAATTACATAAAAGGTTGCAGTTCTGGGCTTTTAACTGTCATTTTACTTTGAAGAGAAGATGTGATAATTTTGCACTGCAGCTCTCCGTGTAGATTTTTACTACAGTACTTGTGTACTCATGATATGAAATAAAGTGTATTTCAGTGTAGTCATTTTTCTATACAGTTCAGTCCTCATCCCATCCCTGGGAAGAGAAATGTTGTAGATTTTATCCATAAAAAAGATGTTATTTTTCTAACACTTCTAATGGTTGAGGTCCATGTGATCTGATTATTTCAGTGACTGCTCTGTGTGCTTACTTGTTTGGTCAGGGACAGAATCTGTTCATCTGCCCATATCCACACAGCAACTAAAAGAGTAAAGGAATATAATTTTAACTACTAATTAATATTATTTAATATGACATTAAGTTGGAAGAACAAAACTTCATGCCTGTACATGCTGTGAATGCATTTTCCTGATATCCCAAGGTAGTAAGTCTGTCAGGTGGAATAGCTGGAATGAGCTTCAGCTTGCCCTATGAATTTGGAACCATTCTTCTTTCCCTTCATGTAGGGATATCACAAATTGTATGTATTAGGCCCACAGTTCTTTTTCATGAGAAATCCAGAAAATTTCATCTAAAGAAACCACTACTGAGACAATATCAATGCTGCAAGTATAAACTTCTAAAATTTATTTGTGCAAATTATTACTTTATTCTTTCTGATAGTCTCTGCATCTCTGAAAACAGTTTCTGATTTCAAAAATATATTTTAAATGTATTCAATCTATTAAAAAAAATATCTTTCATTCAGTCATGAAAGGCCCTTTACTGTGTTGCAACACCTGCCTTGTGGAAGCAGGAAGCTGATGCTGACATTCAGTGTCCTGGCACTTCACATTCTTCATGGTGCTGTGTCAGGTGTTGACAGGACATTAATTCTGTTCGGGACCTCTTATTCATGGTTTTCTTACATGACAGCCAATCAGGCATGTATCAATTGACATCCATTTCTCACAAACCATGCATTAAACTGCCTGCAAATTCCTTGTCCTTTCTGCTTCCAGAGCTATTTTGACACAGGCAGAGGACAGTTGCTTGCAAATACCCCAATGTCATGCAAATTCAGTCTGTACTATGTGACAGATTTTCTTTCTATTTTTTCTGGAGCTTTTCTCCTTTTTGTACTTCCAATGTCTCTGACTTTAAAAAGGAATATTTGTAGGTTATTGTTCATACAGAAGAAAAGGATGACCTATTTATCATACTATTCCACTGTTCTCCCTTTCTCAACAATCCCCCCATTTCAAACTCTGAACTTGCCATAAAATTGTTGTAGTGGCCATGAGATGAACTTGCCAACTTAGATAATAAAAAAAAAGTTGGGAAAAAAATGTAACATGAACCTTTCAGATTCCATTCAGAGTTCTGGGTGAATTAACTTCCAGGTGTTGCTTAATCTAATGCAGCGATTTTGTGAGTTGCTGCAAACCAGGAGGTCCCTGGTCTATCTCTGAGCCCTGTCAGCTCCTTCTGGAAGCTCCATCTCCTGTCTAGGTAGCAGGCAGTTTCTTGGGTCTTCTATTTCCTTAGCCAGCTCCTGTTTCCAGAGGAAAGTGCTTTTATTATGAACCTCCTTCAAGATATTACACATGATCTGATCACTCCCTTAAGGAGCCTGAGAACAAATAGTACCCATTTAGAAGAAGCTCTTGGATATTTTGGTTCTTCTTTTTCAATCAGATCAATTCTGCTGTATGATTCAATAGATAGGTACACCACTTCTTGCTCCAGCAAGTTGTGCAGGTCAGGAGCAGAAGCTGGAAGGTAAGGAAGAGCAAGGTTTGTTAGACAGACTCACTAGTGAATTTAAAAGGAGCTGAAAAACCTAGATGTTTTCTGGAATAATCCTTCAACTCTTGGGAAGTGCCAGAGGAGTAACAAGTATAGGCAAAGCTGAGGTTTTGAGTATCTAGAGATTGTGTTTTTTTGGCTTTTTTATTTGGTTTAATGCTGTTAATTAAAATGAATTTAATTATTTTATAGCTATTAACAAATAAATACCTTAATTTCTTTAGTAATCAATTTTAGTAATCAATTATTTAATCTGACATTTTGAGAGAATGAATACGATTCATCTTTCAATTAAATGGGTTATTTTATTCTTGAGTATACTTTAGTTGTTACATACAAGATTTGTCTCTCTATTATTTATAGAGAAAGGTGTATGTTGTAGAGAACCCAGAATGAGGTTACCATTTTCTTAGAATATTTGGGTCAGACTTTTCTGGACACAATTCAGCTTTTTGTTACAATGTCTGTAAATTTAGGTTAATGCCAGTAATGCTGTAAGTATTCAGCAAAATTGATATTTAATATGAATTTTTGGTTCAGTATGAACATTTATGAATTTTGTTGTAATGCATTTTTATGTTTAAGAAAGTAAGGTTTTGAATACCAGTAAAACAAATTTCTGTCTGCATCCACTCAGCAATGTAAAAACTATTAGATTATTCTCCTGTAGCAACAGGCTCAAATTTGCTTCAGTTTTATGGTTTATCATCAAATTTAAAAGAAGAATTGGAAGGATAATAATACCAAATGCATTTTGTAGAGAGATTATGTGACTGCCTGACACCATCCATTCTTACGTGCTTGTTCTCCCTCTCTGTCTCTCTCTCAGTGTGCCTTCCATCAATAAGTAAGTCTTGCTGTTAGCTCTTGAGATTATTTCATGATTTTCATACTTTGCTAGTATGGCTGTTGAGGAAATACTGAATCAAAGGGTTAATACTTTCCTCTTGCTTTGATTCTGTAGTGTCTTGCCAAAACTACCATTGCTTCAAAGGCTTTCTGGTCATCCCATAACACAGCCATTCTTTGATCTTATAAAAATGACCAGGAGCAGTTTGAGATCCTCTGTCCTGCCTGCCTCACCCTTTCCTTTCCTTTCATCGGCAAGCCAGTGTGTCACTTCCCTTTGCTGGACTTCCCAGAACCTTTCCTCTGCTCATTACCACCGAGTAACTTCTGCCTCCTGAGGCTGCTGGCAGCCTGCTGTTTCTTTTCTCCTAATGCTCAGCTTCCTCTTCCCTTCTTCCTTGATGTTATCTTCTCCTCCTATGTATTTATTGCTCTTGTTTAATACCCAGCTACTTGTCCATTCTCTGCCCCCTACTATTTGGTGTTTCACTTGTTCTTTCAGGTTTTTTCCTAATGCAATCACCTCTAGTTTTCTAGCCCTCAGAGTGAAAAGCATTTCCTGTGTTCAGATGGAACCTCCTGTGTTTCAGATTTTGCCCACTGCTTGTCACTGGGCAGCACTGAAAAGAGCCTGGCTCCCTCTTCTTTGCACCTTTCCTTCAGATCCTTGTGCACATTGATGAGACTTCCCAGAGCCTTTTCTTCTCCACACTAAACAACCCCAGCTTCCTCTGCTTTTCCTCACAGGAGAGATGATCCAGTCCCTTAAAAATTTGTTGTCCTTTGCTGGACTGGCTTTTGTATGTCTCTTTTGTACAGGAGAAACCTGAACTGGACCCACTCCAAATGTGGGCTGACTAGAGGAGAGTGATCACCTCACTTGACTTGCTGGCAATGCTCCTAGTGGAACCCCTACATGCTCTATCTAAGCTCCTTTCAAAATTATGAAAATGTGTTCCACATGTTACAAATATTGAACATTTTTGCCAAAATTTAGTAAACCAAAATCCTTCAGTTTTCAATTAGAGAAAGTAAAAATCTGAGGAAAAATCTTTATTGCAAAGGACTTAAGTTATCTGAAGTTATTTATTTCAGTTGAACTAAGACTAGTAGTATACAGTGTTCTCAATTTTTTTAATGTAGTAGGTATTTGTATGTAAATGTAATTATAAAAAGAGGTCCTTATGAGTTCCCTCCACAGGATGCTCATGAGAAATCAGAGAATCATAGAATCACTGAGGTCAGAAAAGACCTCCAAAACTATCATGTCCAGCCTTTGACTGAACACCACTTTGTCAACTAAACTATACCACCAAGTGCCATGCCCAGTCATTTCTTGAACACTTCCAGGGATGGTGGCTCCACCTCCTCTCTGGGCAGCCCGTTCTAATATCCTTTCAGTGAAGAAATTTTTCCTAATGTCCAACTTGAAGAGCAACTTGAGACCATTTCTTCTTGTCCTGTCACTTGCCTGGTGAAAGAGACCAGCCCCCACCTGGCTCCTTTCAGTCAGTTGTAGAGTGATGAGGTCCCCCCTGAGTCTCCTTTTCTCCATGATAACCAACCCAAACTCCTCAGCTGCTTCTTATATGAATTATGTTGGCCTTTCATCTGTGGAATATGTATCTGAGTTCTTCCACAAAATGTAACTTGATAAGACATAGATTTGTGCTTTATTTTTCTTGGTTTGGTTTGTATATCACAAAATGAGTTAAATTTTGTTTGACAGCAGACTACTGACTAGATATTTCTGATGTGCTGCTAGGTCCTTCATTTTAGATTTAAATGCTTTATATTTGATTTAGTTATAGCCGTAGGAGCACAGGCATCAGTTACACCTGTTGATCCACCACAGGTTTTTTTTTCTTTCATTATTGTGAGGCTTTTTATTAAAACAGGGAAATCCATAAGGAAAACTCTTAATTCTTTTCCTACTCTGACACTGATTTGCTGTGAATCCTTGTTTAAATCACTTCTCTTTGTATTTTATTTTTTCTCACCTGAAAAACTTTCTTCTTTCCCATGAAGAAGAAAGTTGTTAATTGAATTCTTACAATGCTTTCTGGAAGGCTTGATGAAATACTGTTAGCATACAAAATTTTAACATAAATTACATGTAAAGATTTTTAGCTTGCAGTGCTTCATAATGTTAAAGATGAGCATCAAGGAAGTCGTTACACCTTTTGGGAATGTGTTCCCACTAACACTGCATTACTTCACACACTCAACTTCTTGTGTTATATTTCTTTTAGTTTTTGGGAATTATATCTGGATGTCTCT